GGAGCCGCGGCCGGGGCGCACCTTCCGCCTTCCCCCGCTGCCCGGCCCGTAGGCCCGTTGAGGACGGAAGTAAGCCTTTGCCGATGAAACATCAAAGAGGATACCGAGAGGCCAACCCGCTAACAGCTGGGAATCGCCCTGGGGGCGACAAAGGGCCAGGCCACGCTGCGGTTCTGCTGCGGGTCACGGGCTTGCTTTGTGGTTTGCCCAGCTCCTTCAGGACTGCGGGAAGCGCCATGCGCAGCGAGCCTGGGTGAAGAACTCTCCTGAAGCGGCGTTAAGGTAAAACGAAGGTGTTTGCTCCCAACTCTTAAATTAGGTTGGTTTGGTTTTTTTCGTAGAGCCTTAAAAACCATGTGTGGCCATTCGTAACTTTAAAAGTAATACCACCTCTTCGGAACATCAAACCAGAGCGCATGCTTGAAAACCCTCCAGTAATAATAAGCTGTACAGTTCTTTTCTAGACATAACTACCAGATAGATTTTTAACGATGAACAGCATTGCCAAAAGCCTTTTGAAATCCGTTAAACATGGCCGAGCTGCGTGGCTGAGAAGCAGCTCTGCTCACTCTGGAAAACAGCATCTTCGGAAGCTAGTTCTGGGAATAGAGACGAGCTGCGATGACACCGGCGCTGCTGTGGTGGACGGTGCCGGCAACGTTCTGGGAGAAGCGCTGCACTGTCAGAAGGAAGTCCATTTACAGTGAGAATATAATTCTCTCGGGGCTTTTGCCTTAATAATGATTTTATTGTTGTTCTTACTTGTAATACTGTCCGTGTAAGTCCTCTCCTCCAGAAAACTCAGTAAGAAGTGGGTAGGTGTAAAGACCTGTCTCTTGGGCCACACCGCATTCTGCTTGAGATATTACTAAGGGTGAGGAAAGAAATGCTGTGCATTTAACAAGTTTCCTCCGGTATTTTCTTTCAAAAAGAGACAGGTTACTTATCTAGCTTGAATTAAAGATGAAATCATTATTACTGTTAAAACCACCAAATGTCTCAAATTTTTTAGGGGAAAATTAATCAGATACAGGCATTGGTGGCTAAGTACATGAACGGACAAGTGAGGGGTTGTGAATATTAAGTTACAGACATTGTTTTGGAACAACGTTGAGATACGTTTAAGAGGTACGTGTACCAAAAAAGGGCAGGTCACATCCTTTTCTGACCCCCCAGTGGTGATTACGCTCTCTTCGGTGCATAGATGCCCTTTACACTAAACAAGGCATTTGAGAATGTACTAAGGAAACAGGCAGGACATGGCAAGGTTAAGAGGTGTTTAAAATCTATTTTTATGCCATTCTATCTGTTACAAAATACAAATGTATTGTAACTCTTTGTTTTTACTAGAGCAGGTGGAATAATTCCTGTGGTGGCACAGCAACTTCACAGAGAAAACATCGAGCAAGTAGTGAAAGAAGCACTTGGTGTCAGTGGAGTTTCTGTACGCGAACTTGCAGCTATTGCAACTACGGTAAAACCAGGACTTGCACTAAGCCTTGAGGTGGGGCTGCAGTACAGCCTGAACTTGGTGAGCAGGTACCAGAAGCCGTTCATACCCATTCATCACATGGAGGCTCACGCACTGACCATCAGACTGACCCATCACGTGGAATTTCCCTTCTTAGTTCTTTTACTCTCTGGAGGCCACTGCATCTTGGCAGTAGCACAAGGAGTTTCAGATTTCCTTCTGCTTGGACAGTCCATAGATATAGCACCGGGTGACATGCTGGATAAGGTAATATTTTCTTATGTAAGTGAATCTAGGTTTTTTTTCTTTTTATTGCAGTTATACTACATAATGGTAGTATTATCATCAGCCCAAGGACAGTACTACAGTGCAATACGAGCTTTACTTAACTTTTTGTTTTCTATTTTGAAATACCATAGATTTAAGACATAAGAGGCTGTTAAAAATCTATGCCTAGCATCAGATGTAACATATGTATATTAATTGTATTTTTAGCAAATAGACAACATAACCAAAACTGGTGTTGGAAGTTTCATTGACACCCACTATACAAATGAGTTGTATGAATTTGAGAAGATTGATAGTGATATTTTAAAGGATGCTGTCAGGTTTAAAACAATGCATGTTAAAACATTTCTTACCAGCTTTTTTGTACAGTTTGAAAAGCCTGGTTTGGCTTTCAGAATCTAAGTTCTCTGGGTCACTGAATACATTCTGTAAAATTGATTACTTACAGTTTTGTTCTCAAACACAAGCAGAGTTTTTAAACAGTATTTGTGTGTATTAATTAAAAAAGTGGGGGAGCGAGTGGAGTCAGAAGGGGGATTGTTGAAAGTTGAAATCAACTTTGTTCCTGTTTATCTGGTAATACAGTATGGCAGCCCACGTGTGTCTCCTATAGCATAAAAATTGGGTAATTAATGTTTCCTGCAAAACTCGCTGATCATCATGTTTGCCCAGATTGTTCTAGAATTGCATTTCTAGTTGCTCCAGAAAAAAAAAAAAATCCAGCCGGCATATGTCTTGTCTTACTGTGCCCTGTTCATCATTTCACATTGGATTGGATTTTGTGGTGTCTAATTTTACTCCACGGACTACAATACAGTGATGCAGTTACAGGAGGAATTAAATCAGCTCTCTGTTCCGAGTCTGTTGTTTATTATCTCCTTAGGTAGCAAGAAGACTGTCTTTAAGAAAGCACCCAGAGTGCCGCAGCATGGCTGGGGGGAAGGCGATAGAGCACTTGGCTCAAACTGGAAACCGGCAACAGCACACGTTCAGACTTCCCATGCAACAATATCGTAACTGTGATTTTTCTTTTTCTGGACTTCAGAACCTTGTCAATAAAGCCATTATACAAAAAGAAAAAGAAGAAGGTATTTTCAAAATCAGATACAAACCATGTTTTTGATGACCTATACTCAGGAAAACCCATTTGATCATACGTTTTTCTAGGTATTCAAGAAGGTGAGATCCTATCCTGTGTTAAGGATATTGCTGCTGCTGTACAGCATGCAGTGGCTCTTCACATTATCCAGCGAACCTATCGAGCCATGCTGTTCTGCACAAAAAATAGGATATTATCATCAAAAAATGCGACTTTGGTGGGTATACTTTTTTTTTCCTTTTTATATTTGACTGTATAACATCATTTGAAGATGCAGGTGCCTTGTTGTACTTCCTTCCTTGACGGGTGAGGAAGATGTCAGTATGTATTACATCATTAAAATACCAGGATTAAAGTAATAGTCATCTAAATATTTACAATGAAGTCTTTCATGGTTTGGTTTTAAGCTAGAAGTTTTCTTACCATCTAATCTGACCTTCCGCAACAATTTAGGCCACATAATTTGACCTAGTGCTCCCCAATACTCGACAGCCGTTCTACTTATAACACGCTTTTATTCAGGAATCTCTTTTAGCATAATAAGCTCACTTATCATACTCTTTTCTGATACGTTTTCATCTTCAAAGATATGTTTTAATCTTCAAATGCATTATTTATTGCTGTCTTCAGAACTTCATCTGATAACCTCTTTCTAAATAGGATGTTAGTTGAGCGTGACCCATCACTACTTTGGAGTTAATGCCTCTCTTCTATTTGAAACTGCTGGCAGGTTGTATCAGGAGGAGTTGCAAGTAATCAGTATATCCGAAAAGGTCTACAGACTTTGGCAGATGCAAATGATTTTGCGTTTCTGTGTCCTCCTCCAAGACTGTGCACCGATAATGGTGTTATGATCGCATGGTAAGAGTTGTTTCTCTTCGCATGTTTCTATAATGTTCTTTAAAAGCTGACATCCGAAACAAGAATTTCTGTTTATGGTGACTGAACCACATACACATATTCAGCCAGTTATGACATACATTTTTACATAATTGCTTTCTTGCTTAGGAATGGCATTGAAAGGTTACGTGCAGGACTTGGTGTTTTACATAGTACTGATGGCATCCGCTATGAACCAAAGTAAGTGACTCAATTCATTCACGGTCTGTTTCTTCACTTACTCGCTATGGTCAATGAAAGGGGAAGGAGGTGTAGACTAAAAAGAGCAGAAGCTGATGAGGAGGGTCTTTGCAGTGCATATAAGGTTTAAAAGTTACCAGC